TAGAAAAATTTTGTTTAATATTATAATATTATGAGAATTCTTTTTACTAGAGAATTCAAAAATATCTTAAAATTTCTCATTCTATAATTTCCAATGAAAACAAAATCCAAAAAAATTTAGGATATTTTTCAAAAAAATATAAAATTTAAAGTATGAAAAATTCTAAAAAAATATATTATGAAATTTTTTTTCATTATATTACAGTGAAATTTTATTATGATTGCATAAAATTATTAATACAATTCGCAATTATCATATACCGATATCCTTATTCAATCCTAATTTCTCATAATCGTCATAAACCGTTTTAATTTCGTGCAACTTTGCAAAATCCTCCGCACGTGACAATTGTCGCGCTGCAACGGCAATGACATCATGTTCATCAGCTGGTAAAGATTGCAGTGCCGTTACAAAATCATGCGAAATCTTTCCTGCGCTAGCGATGCCCCATCGTAAAGTCGTCATCTAAATTTTTCGAAAAAGAAGCTCTATCAGTTTAACATTGATTTAGATCTCGTTTACAGCGTGCGCTTGATACTACAGTAACTTTCTATTGAATTTTATCTTAATTTCGGCGATACGTATAATATGTACATGATATACGTGTATTTAATTATAATTATTATTTTGATGTATATCCAGGGAAAAAGGCGAGATCGGATAGACGTCTATTAGAGGAGGTGTCTATGTATACATCTAAAATAACGTTTAAAAATATTAATTTTAAACGCCATATGACTTTGTATTATTTTTTCTTATTATTGTGTTATATTAGGCATGCGAAAACCTAATATTGACACATAGCAGAGTATTTATTTATGAAATACTCTTTCGAGCTGTAAACAGGACCGCGATATTTAGAAAATTAGCGCCCAAAAGCTTATCTGAAAGCTCTTCTTTCTCTGCCTATAGTGAATAAATGTACTTATTAATTCTAAAACAAGGATAAATAATTAAATATCTCAAAAAAAATTTTCATACATAAATATGGGTGCATTCAGCAGGCTCAACTGAACTGCGTTCAGAATCGTTGTCCAAATGCACCCAGATATAGTTTTATCCTTGTTGTTCACGAATGTTAAACATGCACCCAGATGATAATTCTGAAGGCAGCCCTGTTGTGTAATCATTTTATGCTTTACTTTGATTTATAATTGGACAAGGTCATGATACTTTCGGGTCATACCCCAGTGAGAAATGATAATGGAATCAACATCGAATCGATATCAAATCGAAGTCGAATTGACATAGATTAACCAAACTGAGTCGGGTTCAAACCCATTGCACTCGAAAACGCTATAAAAATACATTGAGTCACAACCAATTCCAAAACGTGTTGAACAAAATGGCTACATCCAATGTGTCAATATTTAAAGGAATTACAACCTGTATTCAGAACGCGTTTACAATAATGTTAGTGCGTTAACATACTATACTTTACGTTACGCATGTTATAGAATTTCAAAGATAAAAGCGCGTTCCGAATACGGACCTACATATATATATAAATAGGTTACTTATAACTTATAACGTAAAGCCGGTTCTACATTTTGAGATTAACGCTTCATATTGGCTGTCGCAACAAACTTACGATCGGCTTGCAACTAATGTAGAACCGGCTTAATAGATTATAGACATTTGAGAATTATCAAAAGTGAAAACGGTACGTAGATCGATTTTTGGAGATCGAATCGGCAATCGAGGAGCAATTGTAAACTGTAACTACATATTTATGCTATCAACATTATTAATGCAAAATGTAACCGAATGTAAAGGAATTAGTACTTACGTTGCAGAAACGAAGCAATCCACCACGACGTCTTGGAGTATACTAACTGTTTCGCCAGCAAACGCTGCTTACGTCGAGATAATCTTGTTAATTGACTTTCAAGCAACCTTGTAATGCCACATAGAGTGATAATAAATATTTTGATTACGCTATATCTTTCCGCGCATCATTTTAGTAGTTTGTAAGTTTTTAATCATTTTCACTGTTGTTAATACGATCAGATTATTTGCTACAATCGTGCGAAGCATGTAGAATTTTACAGATAATCATTTATATATTAACTCTCCGTCTGCATCGTGAATCTTTTAAGGAATAGTCAATTTCAACAATTAGTTTTCCTCTATTTTGCTATATAAAAAAATATATAATATTTAAAACATTTAGAACATAGTGTAGAGATATAAAGTAATAAAAAAACTATTTTTGTATATAATATAGTTTTTTTTTTTTTTACAAAAATCTGCTAACAATACTTTTATGTCACTAACTGCATATAATACATCAGGAATTTTTTATTTTCTTAAATCTAGTCTAAATAAAATATAACTAAGTGAATATTCTTGGAATCTCCTCGATTAATACAAATATCTATTATATATAAAAAATAATTTAAGTTGCATATTTTGTTGTAAACATAGTTATATCTCTCAAAGGAAGTATTTTGCATAAAGCTCGCCCACGTAACAATCCATGAGGTACTGGTCCGTATATTCGTGAATCTGTAGAATTATTTCTGTTGTCACCTTCCAGCCAAACGTGTCCGTAAGGTATCTGTAAGAAAATAATTTATCAGTACATTTATCAATGTATTTTTCTCTATCATTTATGCACAACTATTAACCAAAGGAACAAGATGTATGCAAAGTAATTCTCCAGGGACGAAAAACATTATTAAAACCTGTCTCGATAACTTAAAATTTACCGTAGTTATGCTGAAGCCATTTCTTATTTTGTCGCCAGGCAGACCTATGATTCGCTTGCATATATTCTGCTCTGGATTGTTGGGACATTTGGAAATGACAATGTCTCCCTTCTCAAGCCTTTGTAATCTAACTGATATTCTTTCCAAAAGTAAGACGTCATTAGTGTACAAAGTAGGTTCCATGGATGGACCACTGCACTGTAATTACATCAGCAATAATTATATTGTCAAAATAAAAGGCATCAGATTTGATAATGACAAATAAGAAAAAATGCATAATTGCGTCCTTACCACGACAATATCGCCTACATACTCGTACACGCAGTACGTCACACATGCACATTGTACAAAGCCACGAATAACCTTAGCCACAAATTTGTTCAGCTTTAGCATTATGACAAAGGATCAACGAGAAGAGAGATCACTTCTCCTCCGATCTACCGGAATTACATATGTACATAACGTTCGTACTAGAACGCGTAATTCGCTCCGTTCGTTTACTCATATATGTAGGTATAGACATAATATGCTCAATAAATGTTTAGAACACCCCCCTCTACTTCAATTTTGATGAATTTGGATTCATTCGACGCGTTTTTGTGAAATGAAAGAATCTGGCAGAAAAAAAGAGTATCATTCTACTCCGTGAACCGAGATACTAAGAGTTAAAATTGACGACTGTTTGAGGTTAGGACATTCATGAGGTCTGTTTTTTATTACTACACTTTCTGAACTAGTACACACAGTGCAATAAGTTGAAGTGAAACAAATATACGTTTGTTTCACTTCAACTTATTGCACCGGTTCAGAATGCAGCAATAAAAAATAGACTTAATACCTATGGTATAAGAATATAAAGCCGGAAATACGGGCAATAGGAACAAGATCCTTATTCTCGAAAAGAAAAAGTATACGAAAAATTATATAGGAAAATACTATAGTATACGTCACGTATACTATAGTCTTTCGTATATATTTTGACTAATCACAGTCGAGTATTTCTCTCTCCTTCGTAAGAAGAGAATACTCGAAGGTAATTGGTCAATTTTTACAGATTACGGCATACGGTTATGACCAAAATAAACGCTCCTTAAAGAATAACAATTCCAAGTTCTATCAGAAACGGTATATTCCGATATATTCGATTTCTGATAGATTGAAATCTTTCTTATTCTTTCTATTGTGGCTGTGCCAACAACGTACAGTGTTGTGCATAGATGATTTTAAAATTAGCTAGATAAAGATAAGATGGAAATTTATCTTAGATAAGATAAAGATGATTCAATTAAATTCATTTAGATAATCTAGATAAATTTATCTGAAAATTCATCTGAAATTTTCCAGATAATTTTTTTTAAGACTTATACTTACAGTTACAACAAATAATAAAAAAATTCATACAAAAGGCTATAGGAGTCAACTTCTGGTTATTAAAAATTTCGAGATGTACATTTAATTAATAATAACATATTATTTCGATTCCTATTTCAATCATCTTCAGCGTTACAACCTTAATATTACAGCAATTAATATATCGCAGTAAATGTCTTTAATTTTTATTTGCGATGACGTTCTGCAATTCTCGTATGATTTACTATTACTTTGTATGTGATTTGTTGACTTCGTGAAGTGAGCACAATTTTTATTTCTGTTGCCCTCTATATTATGCACCTTCTTCAACGATTTTTTTAAATTTTAGCTTGAGTTTTTATCCACAACGGTACATACAAAAGGAGAGAAAACTTTAGACATTGACTGTGATATATTAAGTGCTATAATATTAAAAAATTGTAACAGTAAAGATAACTCAAACAGTAGTCGAAACGAAATCATATAGAATTATTAATTAAATGTATATCTCGAAATTTTTAACAGCCAGAGT